TCCTTTCTTCTTTGCTCTGTGCATAACTTTTAGTGTTATGGTTAGATTCCTTTCTTTTTGTGTACTTATAGATTTTTGGTTTGTGGTTACCATGTGGCTTATATATGAAATATATATATATATATATGTAATATATATATATATACACACAGTAGTCTATATTGATAGTCAAGTTCAAATGCTTTCTAACAGCACATTTTAAAGTCCCCCTCCTCTACATTTTATGTAATGTCTTTTTTAACAACTTTTATTTAGCAATTCTCTTAACTAATTTTTGTTAATTTTACTACTTTTATCTTCTAACCTTTATACTAGCTTGTAAGTGATTGGTCTACTACCTCTGCTGTTTGATTTTAGCAGTGAAGCTTTTCATTATTGCTTCTAGTCAAGGCCTTTTCTTTTTCTCTTAAAGACATCTCTTAAACATTTCTTATAAGGCTGGTTGAATGGTGGTGAACTCTAACATGTTTATCTGAGAAGTTTTCTCTCTCCTTCAATTCTGAATGATAACCTTGCTGGGTAGAATATTGTTTGGAGGTCCTTCTCTTCCAGCACTTTGGATAAAATCAGCTGATAGCCTTACGTGGTCTCTCTTGTAGGTAATTTGTTGCTTTTATCTCCCTGCTTTTAAGACCCTTTGTCTCTGGATCTTTGACATTTTGATCATTATGTGTCTTGTTGTGGACTTCATTGGGTTCATCTTGTTTGAGGCTCTATATGCTTGTGGTAGAGCTCCCAGGGCAAGGGCCAGGGGTCTCTGTGTGGCTGCCAGCCATGGCCATGCTGGTGGGGTAGCTGGTGTCAAAGGGGCACAGCCCAGGTAGCTCCCAGATGGCCAACAGGCTTTGCCTCTCTGGCGGGGTGATGGTGGGTGGGAGCAGGTACACAGCCCAGATGTCTTCCAGGTGAGCACCAGCTGGGAGCAAGCTAATGGGGTGGCTGCATGCAATCCAGGTTGCCACTGGGCAGTACAAATGGGGTGCTGGGATGGAAGGGGTACAGGCAAGGTAAATATTTGTAAGCATCACACTAGTACCACCTTGCTGGGACTGCTGGATCTCCAAGAGGTGTGTCTGGAGGTTGGGAGGCCACTTCCATCACTGATGTGCTCACTCTGGCCCTGCTCCTGTCTGCACTATCATTGTACTTGGGGAATGAAAATAATGTAGCTTACTCTGTTTCCCCACTAGTGATGTGCAAGGGTGATGTAAACCATATAGGTCATCCTTCTTGTGTCTTCAGGCAGGCCTATTAACACTATGAACTTCCCTTTTAGAACTGCTTTGGCAGTATCTCAAGATTTTGCATTGTTGTGTTTCCATTTTCATCTTTGTCCAATTATATTTTGATTTCCTCTTTAATTCATTTATCTATTTGCTCTTTAGTAGCATGCTGTTCAGCTTCCACATGGTTTTTTTGCATTTTTCTCCCTGTAATTGATGTCTAGTTTCACACTGCTGTGTTCAGAAGCAATGCTTGGTATATATGTCATATATAAGCCACATGGTAACCACAAACCAAAAACCTAATATGTGGTCTATCCTGGAGAATGTTCCATGTGCAATTGAAAAAGGATGAGTATTTTGTTTTTGGATATAATATTTTGTATATACCTATTAGGTCCACTTGGTCTAACGCATCAGTCAAAGACACTGTTTTATTAACTTTGTCTGGATGATCTATCTGTTGATGTAAGTAGGGTGTTAAAGCCCCCTACTATTATTATTACTGTGAATTTCCCTCTTCATATCTGTTAGTATTTGCTTCTATGTATTTAGGTGCTCCTCTATTTAGTGTGTAAATATTTACAATTGTTACACCTTCTTGATAGGTTGACCCTGTAATCATTATATAATGTCCTTCTTTGGCTCTCTTTACAGTCTTTGTTTTAAAGTTTATTTTGTCTGATATAGGTACTGCCACACCAGCTTTTTTTCCCTCATTTCTATTTGCATGGAATATGTTTTCCATCCCTTCAGTTTCAGTATGTGTCTTCAGGTCTAAAGTGAGTCTCTTGTAGGAAGCATATATAAGGATCTTGTGTTTTTAATCCATTCAGTCACTTCATCTCTTTTGGAGCATTTAGTCTATTTACATTAAAGTAATTATTGATAGGTATATACTTGTTGCCATTTTGTTAAATATTTTCTGGTTATTTTTGTCATTCTCTGGTCCTTTCTTCTTTGCTCTGTGCATAACTTTTAGTGTTATGGTTAGATTCCTTTCTTTTTGTGTACTTATAGATTTTTGGTTTGTGGTTACCATGTGGCTTATATATGAAATATATATATATATATATGTAATATATATATATATACAGTAGTCTATATTGATAGTCAAGTTCAAATGCTTTCTAAAAGCACATTTTAAAGTCCCCCTCCTCTACATTTTATGTAATGTCTTTTTTAACAACTTTTATTTAGCAATTCTCTTAACTAATTTTTGTTAATTTTACTACTTTTATCTTCTAACCTTTATACTAGCTTGTAAGTGATTGGTCTACTACCTCTGCTGTTTGATTTTAGCAGTGAAACTTTTCATTATTGCTTCTAGTCAAGGCCTTTTCTTTTTCTCTTAAAGACATCTCTTAAACATTTCTTATAAGGCTGGTTGAATGGTGGTGAACTCTAACATGTTTATCTGAGAAGTTTTCTCTCTCCTTCAATTCTGAATGATAACCTTGCTGGGTAGAATATTGTTTGGAGGTCCTTCTCTTCCAGCACTTTGGATAAAATCAGCTGATAGCCTTACGTGGTCTCTCTTGTAGGTAATTTGTTGCTTTTATCTCCCTGCTTTTAAGACCCTTTGTCTCTGGATCTTTGACATTTTGATCATTATGTGTCTTGTTGTGGACTTCATTGGGTTCATCTTGTTTGAGGCTCTATATGCTTGTGGTAGAGCTCCCAGGGCAAGGGCCAGGGGTCTCTGTGTGGCTGCCAGCCATGGCCATGCTGGTGGGGTAGCTGGTGTCAAAGGGGCACAGCCCAGGTAGCTCCCAGATGGCCAACAGGCTTTGCCTCTCTGGCGGGGTGATGGTGGGTGGGAGCAGGTACACAGCCCAGATGTCTTCCAGGTGAGCACCAGCTGGGAGCAAGCTAATGGGGTGGCTGCATGCAATCCAGGTTGCCACTGGGCAGTACAAATGGGGTGCTGGGATGGAAGGGGTACAGGCAAGGTAAATATTTGTAAGCATCACACTAGTACCACCTTGCTGGGACTGCTGGATCTCCAAGAGGTGTGTCTGGAGGTTGGGAGGCCACTTCCATCACTGATGTGCTCACTCTGGCCCTGCTCCTGTCTGCACTATCATTGTACTTGGGGAATGAAAATAATGTAGCTTACTCTGTTTCCCCACTAGTGATGTGCAAGGGTGATGTAAACCATATAGGTCATCCTGTTTCCTCTGCATTGAAAATGGGGTGGGGGAGGCAGGGTAAATGCAAATGATGGTGCTCACCTTGCTCTGTCAGAGTTGGCAGTGCACGTGTGGGGGGCAGAGGAACATAAACAAAGGCATTTAACCTGCTCCCACTGGTGCTCACAGCATCCAGAGAAAACACAAACAATGGCATCTACCCTGTTTCTGCCTTGCTAGCAGCATCTGGGGAAGACAGTCTGTGGCACTCTTCGGTCCAGAGACATTTCCAGCAGTTCTTCTGTCCCCTGGTGGGTGCCTGTTTTGAAAATCAGCTTCCCTCAATTATAACTGTGGTAGGGTTTAAACCTTCCAACTGGTGGCTTGTGTCCTGTGCTCTGGGGCAGGCAAGTCTGGGCTCTGATAGCTTAGCAACATCCCTCCCTCCCACAGGGCTGCACTCGGGTGGGACTCCCTCTGTTACCAGGTCTCTATCTCTCCTGCAATTTTTTATGCGTTCTTTTTATTCCTCACTGTGCAGAAGGTCTTCACTCAGGCCTCCACTCTTCCACAGATGAAATGCTCTGTGTGCAGGTCTAGATTTGGTGGGAGCAGGTGGCCTCAGGCATTCTACTTTGCCATCTTGAACCCACATCCCTGGCCTGAGATTCTGATTTCTCCTAGATGACTGTGTTTCTGGGTTCATGGACAGTTGTGCTAGTCCTGCTTGAATGCATGAGCTCTTTGAGGCTTAATGGGGGAATTAAGGAATAACCAACCCCATTTTCTCCTGTGATTCTAAAACCAAATCTCATGTCCCTCCACAGATATTAAGATCAGTCCCTGTATTCATCAACAGAACTTTTTCTAGTCTGAGGGAACTGAAAAGGACAGGAACCTTTTCAACTGAACAGGCAATTTTTGTCTCATCAGAGATGATGGCTGACACTGATCTGTGTGAATAGCAAATATTTTCTGTTAAGTGACACAACCTAAATTTTGGTTTATAGATTTACAATGAGCACTCTGGCATTTGATAACAGATTATAGTCCTGCAACTAATTTCACTTTAGATTCCACCAATGCCCAGCATATGTTCTGGGAAATTAAGGTCTGTCTTTAACTCAGAGGTATAAAATTGTAGCGGGATTAAATATTTGGAACAGATAAGTGACTGAAGACTTGTTACTTTTCTATCATTTCTATTATGCCCTAAGTGATCACATTTTCAAACAGCTTCACTGGTATTTACTTTTATATAAGCTTATATAACCATCTAAAAGGAATAGGTGGTTCAACATACTGGTTCAAAGTCCCAACACCCTTGTTACCATTTTACTAAGTTGAAAGCATAGAATATTTTTTTGAACATTGTAGATATACACATGTAACAAAATTTCTACCCAGAACCCCAATTTTTAATACTTCTTTAGTGGTAAAAACTTAAGATTTTCCTACAGGAAACACCAGTAATGACTCTGATAAAAATACAGATTCAGAGAGTAACTATTTGAAAATTTATGTAATAAACACAAAAAGGAAATAGTACGATATCCATGAACCCATTACCCAGCTTAAGTTATTATCAGCATTCTCTCATGCTTGTTGCCCACATACACACATTTTAATGATCACATCCACATAATTAACAGCTATAAGAATTTTTAATGTCATTCACTATTCAATTTTCCCCATGTATCCATTATTCTTTAACTACTGTGACTCTAACTGGGGCACTTAATTGAGATGACAGTTGGCCTTTAAACATGGTTTGAATTGCATGGGTCCACTTACATGTGGATCTTTTTCAATAAATGTATTAGAAAATATTTTGGAGATTTGTAATGATTTGAAAAAACTGGCAAACTGCATAGACTAGAAATATAGAAAAAATAAGTCATGAATGCACAATATATATTTAAATCTATTATAAGAAAGTAAAATTTATCAAAACTTACAAACCATTTCATGATACCAGATTTATAAATACATATACAAAATATGTGTTAACTGGTCAACAGTAGGCTATTAGTAGTTAAGTTTTTTATACAGATTTTCCACTGTGTAGAGGGGGGTCAGCATCCCTAACCCCCATGTTATTCAAGGGTCAATTGTACTTAGTTCTTACCTGTTTGTGTTTTTATTTGGAAATCTGGAATGTGTGATTTAATTTTGCACAACTCAAAAAACGTTATTTTTTAAATGTTGTGCCACACTACCTCTTACTATCTATCTTTTTCCACTCAGAGGCAATCACTATTATCATTTTCCTATCTATACTTCTAGAAATATTTTACTCTTTTAAAATTTAAACTTCCTAAATACCTAACTTCCTAGACTCTGAACTTTCACATTGGAAAAACAACTGATGGTGTGAATTCTTCTGCCTTTTTAATTATATATTGCTCTTTACATATTCTTAAGAAAATGTCAATTACTATTAGCTATGTTAAATGAAATAGGCTGTTTTATGGAAACAGCAGATTCAACAGGTATATTGGCTCAGATGCCCAGTGCTATGCACAGTGGATGTTCTGTGTAAAGCCACTACTTTCCTTTTGGTCTTCTACAATTTGAATATGAATCCTAAAAAAAAAATGACCATTAGTACAAAAAAAGGCATTGAGCTTTTTTTTAGAAACTTTATATATGAACTAGTTATTTTAATCTTTTGCTTTTTCTAGTGCTCATTTCCCATAAATAATACACAGTTGCAGATATTTTACAGTTTCATTTTTATTCTCTTGTGGAATGCTAGTTTTAATGTTACAGTATGGTTGTCAAGGCTACTGAAATGTGATGAATGTCCATGTCTAAATGCTGCAGAACAATATAACTTTAATGATTTTTAAACAAAAAAGTTATTACATAGCTGAGGTCTGGTGGTTTTTAAACCGGTGCCTATGTGTATGGCCAGCCACAAACCTTGGGGATGTTTATTACCTGTACATGTATATACAAATAGATTCCATACATAGTATATGCACACAGGCATGTATTAATTTATGTGTGAAATTTATAAAATTATATACATACACATACATGCATATCTATATACATATACCACCCTCACCATGGAGCTCACTTGTCTAACACTAGTCACCTGCAAGCCCAATTATTGCTGCCCCGTATAACTACCTGATTTTAGTGCCAATACCAAGCACCTGTCCAGATACAGGATAGGTATGTCTGTGCATATAGATATGTGTATTTATGTATGTTTGTGTATAAAAAGGAATCATTTATTCTCCCTTTTGTTTTAGTCATGCATTACTACAATAAACAGTCTTTTCAGCATAGGTTTTTGAATTCTAAACAGTGTAAAATCTACTTCTGGAAAACTGTATATATCATAGTTACAAAAAATATATTATATATATATGGTTGAAACCTATTGAGTACATATGTTCTCTGAATCTGGCTATATCCTAGCCATTAGATAAATTAAAACACACCCTCTTATTAGGATGCTATGATAGCCTTAAATAGACTTTATTACCTGTATTTAGAGAGGTTGATATATTTTAAAAGTTGTCAAAATGATGTTAAAGATTTGAAAAATGCTATGCATATGCATTAAATATATAAAGGTTTCCAAGGGCCCAGTTCAATTCATTGTCTGAGATTTTCCTGTTCTAAGAGTGACCAATATTGTAGTCATTATTCTTAAAATTATGGCTCATTAAGGCTTTTATACAAAAACCCTATTTTTAATCATTTATAAAAACAAGTTCTATTTAAAAGAAAAAAATGTACATGAAACTACTAAAGTACTCATGGATACTATCCTGTACAAAGTGACTATGTAGACAGGAGGCTCCAGCAAGAACACCTCATGATAGTACATGTAAACCTGGTTTGGTTCCTCTGCTTTGCAGCTATTCAGCACATAAAATTTAAACCATTTCACATTAACATTTAAATTTAATACAGTGCAAATATTTGAGAATAACTTGTTCCCCCCAGTGAAACAAGAACCAGCGTTATGCTGTATATTCTTCAGATCTATTTACACATTGAGCTAAAAGTTCACCATAAACATTGAAATTTGCTGAATATCAGCAGAAATGTAACTGAACTAGCAGCGATTGCATTTACAATATTCGATAGTTACTTGAGAGAATGCATAAAATTTTCCAGGCTGTACTCTGAATCATATTGTTCTTGATCCCAAAGATCACTCAGGTTTTCAAGAATTGATTTCATACTTGCTTTTCCAGAAGAAGAGGTATCAGCTTTTTCTGTTTTGCCATCCTTAAGAAAAATTGGCAGAAAGACAGAATGAAAAATTAACTTCAGAAATTATATTTTCCTTTAAAATATCATACTTAACACTGCACTTACTCAACAGAGTTGAACAGTTCAAGTAATGGGGAAGGAAGTTCATGATCTCTTAACAGACTGTTCTACTTTCCGACAGCCGTAGCAATCTAACGCTTTTTATTTGGGAAAAATTAAGCTTAAAGGTGAATTAGAAGAACATTATAAAGAATTCATTGATAATTACACCACATTGGTTTTGCCATTCTCTCTCCCCTGTATGTATGAATCAGATTACATAGTTATCAGCTTTTTCCCATGATTACTTGGGAGTTAAGTTGTAGACATTATTCCCCTTTATCCCTAGAAAGGAATCAGCCCATACTCCTAAGAACAAGGACGTTCTCTAACATAGCTGAAGTGCAAAGATCAAATTAAGGAAATTTAAAACTGATATATTAAACTGATTTAATAGACACAGTCCATATTCAAATGTTGCCAACTGTCGCAATAGGATCCTTTATGACAATAGCTTTTGCTTTCCTGGAACAGCCCCTGAGCCCATTTATGCTTGCTGAAAGTCACCTGTTCTTTCAAACAGAATAAGAGCTATTTGAAGATAGCAAACCATGTTTCTTTGAGCCTTCTTTTTTCTAGGTTACAGTTATTTCTACCGTGTCATATATGATATGATTGAAGAACTTTCCTCCATTTTGGCTACCTCTTGGGAACTTACTAATTTGTTACTATTTAAAATGCAGGACTCAGAACCAGATGTAATATTCTAAATGTGGCTTAACACAGAGTATAGTTGAACTATCTCTCTCAAATTTAGACATTACAATTCTATTAGAGGTAGTTTAATTACAAGGTCATTTCTCACCTTAATTTATACTGAGTGTGCAGTTGATTTTCTGAACCTATGCAGGATCTTAAATCCAACCCTGTTTTAATTATTAGATTGACCAGTATTTCAGCTGCTGCATCCTCTGATTATGGATTGTTATCTGATTTATTAGTTCCATCACCCACAAGGGCTAACATTGAGAAGCCATACAAAATACCCTAAGTGTTTACATATATTACCTTCAGTTATGTAGTGATGCAGGCATTTTTATCCACCCGGAGGAGTACATTCAGATAAGTTAATTTGCCTAAGGTCGCCAGTTAATAGGAGGCTAGAAAGGCATACCTATAGGTCAGTAACTCCCATGATAGCTGTCCTTTAGCAGGAAAGGACCAAGGAAATGTTGGGCAAAGCACTGGAGACATCAATCAGAAAGTTAAACATTCCCCAGTATCCTGGGCATCAAAAATGCCCTCAGGGATTGTTCAGTTGCTGCTAAAGTGAATGCCTTTCACTGCTTCCTTTAATACTCTCTCCAAGCAGTCCCAGTAAGTCTGAATACAAATATAACAAATTGTGTAAGTTCTTTACCTTATCAAGAGTAAACAGATCAAGAAGTTGATCTGTCCCCATACTCTGCAAACTAGAATTCTCTTGGCTAATCACAGTATTTGCTATGTTCATCTTGAATTTCTGCAAACCCATTATTTTTTCTTCCAGTGTTCCTCTGGTTATCAATCGGTACACATTAACCACACGTTTCTGAATGAGAAGAAGAAGTTAAGCAATGGTAGCACAAATAAATTGATAAGGTTTATCAAGTCAGGAGGCTTGCATATTTGTACTAAGTACCAAACTACTATCTAATTAAGTTGTTTTTCCTTTATCTGTCTGGACCCATGAGCTTAAAATATTTGCAGACAATATTAGGACTGGATAGTTTCCCAGGTTTTCCTAGCCCAAGCACTTTGTTTAATGCATGAGGAAGTAGTACCACCAGTTAACACCTGTGAGTGGTGACTTTTTACCTGCCCAATGCGATGGGCCCGGTCCATGGCTTGTAGGTCACGCATGGGATTCCAGTCATGTTCCACAAATACCACTGTGTCAGCGCCTGTTAAGTTAAGCCCCAGGCCACCAACGTGAGTTGTAAGTAAGAGAACATCTATAGATGGATCATTGTTAAACCTAAAGGTATAGATATTAAAAAATAAGGTTAGTACATTTCTTCCTAAGGTTCCTGTAATAGAAACTGGAATGTCTGATAAAAATTAAAGAGTACAAATGAGAACACTGCTTTAAAAATCCATGATACTGACATTTCTGTGACCACGTGGGATGAAACTATCTTCCTTTAAATATGTAATACTTTTAATAGCAAAAAGAATGTATTCTGAAACATGTCAGAAATTTCATAAAGAGAAATAAGTCCATTTAGGTTGTATTTTAGGGTATCAGATAAAGACCAAGTGGCAAAAAAATATAACTAAGTAGTAATTATAATTAAGGCAAAACACAATATGAACCTTTAATGTATGGAGACAGAATTGGGGAAAAGGCTAGATCAGTCAGGGAAGGTAAAGGATGAACGTTAAGGGTGGCTACTATTGTACAAGTCCTAGAATATACTGACAAAGGACTCTAGTAGCTTCTAGGAAAAAGAAAAACTTATTACTAACATTATTACCAAGCTACCATTTATTGCATTTTCACTATGAGTTAAGCAATGGGCTTTGTACTTTATAGCCATTGTTATTTAATTGTTACAATACCTCCATAAATATATTATCATTGTCCTTAGAGAGACTCAGGCTGTGTGGATGATAAATAGGTCCAAGAGAACACTGCCTACATAGTAGTCAGGAGTCAAACCAGGGTCTGACTGCCCTAAACCCCTTTCATAGGTCTCGTAACTATACAACGCCTAACAATCTCTTACGGATGCTTGCTAAAAATGCTTACTCTTAAAGTCAGCAGGTCTGGGAGAGAAGCTAGCAGTCTGCATTTGAAAACCCAATCCTTGAGATTTCTACAGTAGTCTGCAGACTACAGACACTGCACTCATAGACTGTACTTTCTAGCTGGGCCAGCTTCCAACTTGTTCTCAGAGAGTCTCAGCGATCAGTATACAGACTTTAGCTAAGCCACTGTATGCTTCTTCCTACCTCAAACCCCCCCAAAATATGAGGGGGAAAGTAGTCTATTTTTTGTTGCTACCTTAAGTTTCTTTCATACCTTTCAGAGTGCTTTCCTAATATAGTCACACTTCTTTTTTTTTTTACTAAATATTCAATTATGTTTCTGTAGTTCTGTATTTTAAAAAGGATTTAGTTGAAGTGTAGCACAGAGAAGACAAGTAGTGACTCTGTGGCATCTTACTACGCTGATGGACAGTGACTGCAATGGGGTGGGGGTGGGGACCTGATAATATGGGTGAATGTAACCCATAGTAACCACAATGTTTTTCATGTGAAACCTTTATTAAGAGTGTATGTATCTTTAAAAAAAAGGGGGTTGCCTTAAAAAAAAAAAGGGTTGAGCTGAATTACACAGTAATAAAACACATTTGCAAATACTTATCCAAAGAAATATTTCATGAGGCAAACTTCTATGTAAGTAATAACCAACTACAGCACAGTTTACAAGAGTTTAGAAGCCACCTACCGTGAAACAATGGAATGCCTCTGACCAGGAGGTATGCTGCCATCTAATCTCAAATAAGTGACAGAGGGTAAGTGAGGTTTGAGAAGATCGTGTTCTACTATATCAAGCATGCTTTTAAGCTGACAGAAGATCAGTATCCTGTGCTGGGCCACAACAGACTCTGTGCCACTCTCTGAAGTGCTGCCATTTCCCAAACCACAGTCCAAAAGCAACTTGAAAAAAGAATCAATGGTTACACAGGTGTTCAATAAAAGTAGGCAACCAATCTCACTATGACAAATATTTCTCTTGTGTTGAGAAAACATTAAGCTTACCTGTAACCTCGAAAGTAGATTAGCACTTTCGGCTGCAATCTGTCACCCTGCAGCATGTGGAACTGGCTTATTAGCACTTTCTGGTCACCTCTTCAGGAGGTTCTCTAATAGCCTTTTTCCCCTTTCCTTAATTCCCTGAGGCTCACTAGAGCCTTACTAAATGTTTATGGAAAGTGAACATACCCAGGCAAATGATTCATGAAGGGTAATGAAAGAAGAGAATGTGAATATAAGTAGGTCTAGGAAGGCAGTACAGCATGGAGAAGACAAGTAGTGACTATAGCATCTTACTATGCTGATGGACAGTGACTACAACAGGGGTGGAGAGGAATTGATAATACGGGTGAATGTTGAAACCACTGTGTTGTTTATGTGAAACCATCAGAAAATTGTCTATCAATCAATGATATTTTAATTTTAAAAAAGTGTGAAGAAAACATAACGAAGCAGCTAAATTTGGCAGAAATAAAAATTGCAAAAAAGAAAGAAGAGAAACCAAATATGTCAAATTTGGGGTTATTATTCCAATTAACAATTGGAAACAACCCAGCCATATTACAGTTAGGAGAGGGTAAGGTCAATTATGGTTTTGACATATTGGAACTCTGTATATCCATTAAAATGTTTTCATAGTATGTTTACAATGTAAGAAAATACTCATGTTGGAATAAATGAAAAAATGATATTGATACTGCACAGCATGATTAAATGACTAAAACATCTTTAGAAAGCACTTGAAAATAACTCAAGATTAACAGTGATCTAAAAAATAATAATAATAATAATTTGATGCTGGGGGCAAAACAACATTCTTTTTTAGCCCTTAAATTTTTTAGATTGCCCTAGGCTTTTTTCCTCTCCTTGGCATATGGTATATACCACCAAGGAATTCCTTCTAATGGAATAAAGAAATCTGATAAAAGTAATTATCCCTATTGTTTAACCCCTGAAGCTGTAATCAAATTACCATCAAACCAAGTTTCATGGTAAAAATCCCATCGAGGGTGTTGTAGGAGAATATGACTATGTGGTATCCAGTATAAAGAATGTGGGATCATCAGTCATTCTATATGGCTTCTATACATTTACCAGAATGTCTGTGTCAAACATATTCAATTATCTCAGTTCCTTAGGCAGCGGTATCACAAACCTTACAGAAAATCAGTCATATTAAGAACATACAACTAAGACTCGTATCCAAGTCCACACATACCAGACAATCTTTCTAATGATCTTTCCATGTAGCTGTCCTACTGGGTGTATGCACAGATAATCTGGCCTAAGTATTCTTGTCTGGTGTCACAACTGGCATTCTGGTTTTCCCAATAATTTCTTATAACTCGAGTATGCTCTGAGAGACTGATGAACTTGAAATGTCCTGACAAAATCTAGCTCATGGCCTTGAAGAATTGACTAGACTCAAAAAATGGGTACCAAAGCCACCTGATAGGGTGTCTTGGAAGCCAGGTGCCTCCCTAGAGACAAGTTTAATTTTATCCTGCACTAACTTCAGTATATGGTAAACTACCCCAGGTTTTTCAAGCTATTCCTCATATAAAATGGCTTAAATTATTTTATCTTCCATTCATAGTGCCCACAACTATAAATGATACTCAAACTCTAATCTGACTGGAACAAAATATAGTGAAACCATTAATCCCACCCAAGATTTATTTTACCAGTAGCTTTATTTACCAGCAGCTAATTCATACAGTAGGTATATAGTGAACTTGCCATCATATCAAACTCAGCACTACCCTATATGAAATGTTTGCCAAGTCTGACAGAATTTGTATTTAGTATAGTGTTTTCTCTTAAAATTGACTCTGCTTATCTCCATTAAATAGCACATAGAGTTCCAGTTCACTTTAGCCTCCTAAAATTTTTAAGTTTAATATTATTAATTTTTCTGGCAATATTAATACTTCTGGCACTATTACTTGCTTATAAACATGTTTCTATATTTCTAGTGCCACATATTTAAAAAGCAAGTAAGACTTCTCCCCTACTTCAAACAATAGACATGTTTTAGATGAAAGCAAGCAAGCAAGCTAGTTCCCCTCTTGAGAAACTTTACTCTCAGAAAATGGAAAAGAAGTGTTCTAGAAAAACCGCCTTGAGTATGGCCAGAAACAATCTGGACCTAAATTGCAGAGTTCCTAAGCATGTTAATTCCAGACACTTTAGGATGACGAGAAACACACTAAAATTAGATCAGTTTAAATAATAATTCTAGGGGGGTGGGGAAAGTACAAAAAGATAAACTAAAAACAATTTAAAGCCTGTGTGTGATATATTTAAAATGTGGATGAAGTTCAAATTTTATTTTAAAATAGATCTAATTCACTGATTCCTTGGCTAACTTAAGTATATCTTATAGCTTTACCTTATAGCTGATTTATATACAAAGTTTGGTCCAACAAGAAAACTATTTCATATATCAATCATCTAAAGGTAACAGTCATTTTTCAAGTCCATTCTTTTACACTTAATGATATAAGGATATATACCTGGATGTCATATATATCATTATATAACACTTTCTATCCTAACCCATATGAAATCTAAAAATCTTCTTCACTAATAATTCTCAATAGAAGTTAGACCAGAATATAAAAAAGGCTAAAACAAACAATAAAGTCCAGATTTTACAATGAAATATTAATTTTGAAGACTAGTTAGAACTAAATGGTATAACTTATAATGAGTTATAAGAAATACATATTCGGTCATTCATATGACCAAATATATATTTCCCGGGTATATTGGTCTTCACAGTTCCTGAAAACACTGCAGTCTTAAAGTTGAAACGGGTGTTTTGTCATGTTAATGAGACTTCTGGACCTACCCCCACCCACGGACGGAGGCTGGAGGTTGAATCAACCAATCACTTATAATTTAGTCAATCATGACTATACAATAAAACCCTCACAAAACCCCAGAAGAAGAGCTAATCTCTTGCTCTGCCCTGCTGGCTCTGCTCTGTTGATTCCTGCCTCTTGGTCAGAGACAGCTTCTATGCTTGGGGAACCAGAACGCCTCCATGTGCCTTCTAGCCAGGCCCAAGCGTAGAGGACAGACACTCCTTTATTCGGGACCTTGCCCTATGTCTCTCTTCATCTGGCTATTAACCTGTATCCTTTATGAAACTGGTAAACGTAAGTGTTTTCCTGAGTTCTGTGAGCCGTTCTAACAAATTAATAGAACCTAAGGGGGAGGTCGTAGGAACCTCCAATCCATAGCCGCGTCTGGAGTAGTGGGTGGAAGGCAGTCCTGGACAGAGCCCTTTACCTGGGAATCTGGTGTTGTTTCTGGGCAGATAGCATCAGAACTGAGTTCTCCAGCACCCTGCTGGTGTTCGAGAATTACTTGGTGTAAGTATGTGTGGGAAGACATACTTACACACACTGGAATTGGGTCAGGGTGCCCAAATGAATTCATACTACTATTAATGCTGTGTATAATACTGTTACTGTTATACATATATGTAGGGGAAAAATAAACCATTGCATTTGGTGTTGGAAGGGTGGGAATCGCATTAGTGTTAACATTTTGGTTCTTAAAATTGGCTCTTTTAATTTAACCTTTTGAAATCTTAGAATTTTTTTAAAATTCCATTTTCAAAAGCTATACCAAAAGAGTGACATGAGCAAAATGGCAGAGTAGGCAGCTCCCAGTAAAACTCAGAGAGAATCACAGACACACACAAGACAAAGAGAAATCTTGAAAGCAGCAAGAGAAAAAAGTGACTTGTGTAAAAGGAATCCTCAATAAGACTAACACCTTATTTCTCATCTGATTAAGGATGTAATATCTAGAATATAAAGACTCCTAAAACTCAACCAAATGACAATCCAATTAAAAAATGGTTAAAGAACCTAAAACAGTCATTTCTCCAAAGAAGATATACAAATGTCCAGTGAGCATGTGAAAAGACACTCAACATAATTAGTCATTAGGAATAGCAAATCAAGTGAATGATGAGATACTACTTCATACATACTGGGATCACAATGATAAAAAAATGGAAAACTGACGATGTGGGGAAATTGGAACCCATCACATTGCTGGTGGAAACTGTAAATGGTACAGCTGCTGTGGAAAACAGCTAGGTGGTTCCTGAAAAAGTTAAGCATATAATTGTGCAATTCCACTCCTAGGTCTGTATCTAAAAGAACTGAAAAGTGGGACTCAAACAGATACTCATAAGCTAATGTTGACTACAGTATTATTCACAGTAATGGTGGTAACAACCCAAGTAAGTGCCCATCAACATATGATTGTGGATAAAGAAAATGTAGTATATACCTAATAACAGCATACTATTCAGCCAAAAAAAGGGAAGTACTGATACATGCTACAACGTGCATGAACCTTGAAATAAGTAAAATAAACCAGTCATGAAAGGACAGATATTGTATGACTTCATGTACATGAAATATTTAGAACAGGCACTCATACAGAAAGTAGACTAGAGGTTACCAGGGGTTGGGGGAAAGGAGAATGAGGAGTTATTGCTTAATGAGTACAGAGTTTCTATTTGAGTTATGGAAAAGTTTTGGAAATATACAGTGGTGATGGTTGCCTAACACTGTGATGTAATTAAAGCCATAGAACTGTACACTTAAAAATGGTTAAAATGGCATGTATTACGTTACACAGGCAGACCTCAGAGATATTGCAGGTTCAGTTCCAGACCACTTACATAAAGTGAGTTTCTCAATAAAGCGAGTCAAATTAATTTTTTGGTTTCCCAGTGCATATAAAAATTATGTTTACACTATATTGTGGCCTATTAAAGTGTACAACATTATGTCTAAAACAAAACGTTCATACCTTAATTAAAAAATACTTTATTACTAAAATTGCTAACTACCACCAGACCTTTCAGTGAGTAATAATCAGTGATCACACGTTATAAAAAATATAATGTAAAAGTCCGAAATATTCCAAGAATGATCAAAATGTGATACACAGACACAAAGTAAGCAAAGCTGTTGGAAAATGGCATAAAAAAATGCCACAAATCTTCAATTTGTAAAAAAAAATACATTATCTGCAAAACTCAGTAACATGAAGTGTGTCTCTATATATTTTATCAGTTTTTTAAAAAGCTATACCAAAAATTTAACAAACCAAATTAAAAAATAAAAGAATGGTAAACACAAGTGATCTTTTGAAAAGTACATTTACCTAGTGTTACAGATCAGGAATGTGTAACATGCACCCAACACCTAACAGATCTACTTACTTGTTTCAAAGCTGAGAGTTTGGGGGCATGCTGAATATCATGAAGAGAAGAATTCTGAACTGCCAGTCTTTCAGTAGTACTCTTGAACTCTGGATGTTGAGGTGTTAAGACTAATGCTGGATGGTTGCACAATTTACGTAAGTACTGTAATGCCTTTAAGGGGGGAAAAACGTATATGCAAGTGACTTCACATGCCACAAATGTTTGTATCTCAGTATCTTTCCCTATGCGATTCCACCTATCTAGAATGCTTTGCTCATTCTTCAAGAACCAGTTCAAGTATCTGATGTCTTCAACTGTGCTCCTTGCTCAGTATTTCTTTATGAGAGCATTTATTGTAACTTGTGTACTGTTTATGTCTACTTAACCTTCTAGACCTTGGCACAAAGAGTGTCTTTTCATTAGCTCCCATAGCTAACCCTTTCCCACTCCTCATCAAAGTGCTTGATAATGCTTATAGATGCTTCTGGAGCCAGGTATCATTTCCTAAAGGAAGTTTCTTAAACTTCAGTGGGTATAATAATTTCTTGAATAGTTTATAAATCCACAAATCTCTCCCCTCTATGCAGTATTCTGATTCAGCAGAGGGCAAGGTGGAGCTAGACGGTTATTTCAAATTATTTAAGAATCAGAATCCTACATGATCTTTTCTTTCTTTTTTCTGATCCAGCCATACCTTTTTCTCTTTTACCTTTTACTTCCCTTATGATTTGGGTGTCACCCTTGGCACAGAGATTTGCATTAGCAAGCCCCACTAACAATGGGTTAAGACAATGCTGAGCACTATGACAGAAAATGTGGGAGAAGTATGAGCCTTCACTACCACCTTTCCCCTCTTCTATCTTTAAAAATGCTATAGTATTTATTGGGGACAAGGGAATTTGGGAGGTTTTCTATGGTAGAATATTTCAAATGGAACAGAAAAAGTGAGTCAACACCATTTTTTCAGTTGCTATCCCTCGAGCACATGAGGTATTATCTGTCTCAGGACTTCTGTACTTTTGTATCCTCTGCCTAGAATCATTTTCCCACACCTATCTGCGTTCCTCAATCCTCCTTCAGATCTCTGCTCAAATGTCACCTTCTCAGTAAGGCCATTCCTGATCCCTCTATAAAAACAACAACCCACTCTGATTCCTATACTGTATAACCCATACTTTTTTCTCTTACACAATATATATTTTACTTACTCATTTTATCTGTACAAGGGAAGGAGTCTATTTTGTCCACTGCTTTAATCCCTAAGCTTAGAAAAATTATATTGCTTTGTGTTAGGCTTATTCCAGTATTTTTTTAATAGAAAGCAAGAGCCTGTATTCTAAAACCCTTCATCTAACACACACACATTGCATTTTTACATTTAATTTTAGTATTAAATTTCTTATTAGTAATTATGAACTCATGAAAACAAATTACATTGGTGTTTTTACCTATTTTTAAGAATGTATACATAATATTGAGAAAATTTGAATAAACCTATATTTTAGTGTTCCAAGTAAAAACTGTCGCAATGGAAAAAAACATTCCTCAACAACATTTAAAAGTAAACTGTAATCTATACCTGGAATACATGGCCTGTAGCTTTAAGCTTTGGTTTTTCAGTTTCTTCAGAAAGTGCAGCTGAAGAAACTGTTTCATCAACATCACACTTGGCACGAGACTTAGCAAAATCCTCATAAAGCTGAACCTGTAAAATTTCCCCCACAAAAGCAAAAAGTATATTTATTTTCAGTTGTTAAGAATGTAACTAGAAAATGACATTAAGAACAGTAATTTAAATCACCCTTCACTGAAGAAAATGATGATACCCATAATTCATTGCTCATTACAGATTAGCCACTGTATCTGGGTAAATTCCTTTGAAGTTACATTTAGAAAATACATTAGGTTTGACTGCTAAAATACTAAAAAACTAGTCAAACAGTCCTACACCCAAGTTTTCCACTCTTTTCAGGAGATAAATGTATTAACAATGAAAGAGAACCTGAACCCTTACAAGTAAAGGAGAAAATATTTCTTATGTGAAGTTATATGGTCAAAACACTAAGGTATATTCCAAGAGACCAAATTTTAGAAGAATACTACGGCTGCCGAAAAGGGGAATTCACATTAAGTTTAAAGCATTCTTTGTGGTCTGGGTTACTACTTCATACATGCTAAAACAATGTAAAAAGGAAGAAAACCTAGAGTGCTAGAGAGTGGAAGTCAGAGTATAAAAATGTGTGGATGCTAAATAAAGCCAAATGTCACTTCCCTCTCCATCTCCCTTCCTCCAGGCTACTTAAACATTTTTTATGCCAGTGTTTTACTACCTCTAGTATATCTCCAGTTTTTTTTTAACATCGCACCTTTTCTTTATTGTACTTATTTTTAAAAGTTTTCATCTTTTACCCCTATAATATTCAAGAAATATTAATCCGATTTTTACAAATGAGGAATGGAACCCAAAAGAGAGGAGGTAGATAATATAAATGATCACAGAGCTATTAGCATCTAGATTAGAGCAGTGCCCACTAAACTCAAGTTGTACAGATAATGCTGAGTAACAGATTAACTGTCTATATACACTGGTGGTTAAAAAGGTAAATTTCTGGATATGTCTGTACATCTTCTATTCATTTGACCATACTAAATCAATGTAATACTGAAACAGATTGATTCATGCTAACCTAGAACATAAGTAGTCAACAGAAAATTCTGATTATAGGACATGTCTTACTAAGAGACAAGGGACAGTTTCTCCTTACAAAATATTACACAAGGAAAGGCATACAATAAATTCCATTGATAATGGTCTCTGTGTACAAAACCAGAACTGTGCAGAAGCCAAAATTTATTTTAAAAATTTATGGACAATACACTAATATTTTAAAAGGGATAAAGTCTCACTACCTAAGGTTTGAAACTCAGCGCTGATATATTTTAAGATATAATAACCTTGAGCAAGTTACTTGACTTTTCTGAGCTTAATTTCCTTATTTGCAAAGATGGAGATTGACAACATCTATGATGCTGTTGTGAAGTTTAAACATTATAGGCAGATTTTTGGCCCCAATAAACACTGGCTTATTTCTTCTTCAATTAAACCTTGGAACTTTTTCAATTAACTAGATATAAGAAAGCAACTATGATACTAGATTTTGTTTCAATGCTATATTCAAAATGAACATGCCAAATGTATACCCACATATCCAAACAGATTCATTTAGGTCTTAGCTACATCTGTTTGAAACAAAATATTCCTAAAGTCTAGAGAAGGAGAAGCTAGCTTAGAGTGATAAAGCCGAAGGTTAATCAATCCCCCTTTTTCAATATTTTTGTGGCTTATTCAAAGCATTCTACTAATAAACATACCACCAAAACCACAATCGCAATCACTAGATTCCTACCTGGAGAGGACTAAGAGTGCAATAGTAGTCCTGAATAATTTTAGGTGGAAGATCCTGCAAAACATCTTCTTTCATTCTTCTCAAAAGAAATGGAAGGACTTGACGATGCAGAGCATCCATTGCAAGAACACCTGTTAATATTAAGGGAAAACAGGTTCACAGAAGTTAGTAATTAATTATATTTTCTTGCACAGACTATATAATTATATCTCTTTTTCATACCTGCTTCTTGTTCTCGACTGGAACTTCTAGCATCCCTGCTTGCTAATATAGGTTTACCATATCGAGCAGCAAACTGGCGTTCAGTCCCCAAAAATCCTGGCATGAGGAAGTCAAATAATGACCACAGCTCCAAAACGTTGTTCTGAATATAAGAAAGGAACACCAGTTATCTTCTGTACTGGGATTATTTCCTTAAACTTAAAAATGGAACATCAATGAAAGCATGGAAGAGAAATTACAACCACATTTTTAGGTATTCAGTTTAAGACTGTAAAATTCATGTCAGCATGCTTAGTTAAAAGCCTCTATCCTATTTAAAGTCCCCTCCACCAGAACAAGCCTTAGTCCACTGGTGGCATCCATCAAGCAGTAAATAGAAGAGCAGTAAGATGAACATGTTTCGGATTATTTTAACTTTGACATTCAAGTTAACAGCAAGATTTTTAGGAATTTGGCCAGTATCACCACTTCAGCAAAAGAAAACCTAGAAGAGTGGTCATAGGTCAAGTCTATCCAGTATTTATGGGCTGTAAGAAACAGGCACAGGTTCTTTCCAGTGCTATTGCTGAAGTTTCATGGAAAAAATAAAGGAATGCACACCTTTTCATTTTGGATGTTTTCCCAATTATGTGTGGAACCTAAGGCACAACCCCACCTCCTAACCTCTTCCAGAAGCCCTCCCAATTGGACACCCTCCCAGTCTCAGTCAGGCTCTCGGCTGCCATGGCTCCTCAGTGCAGAAACTCACCTTACGGCTTTAGGGCTTTGTGCAGGTGGGGAAGGGGGAAAAGGAAGGCCTTTAAGCAATCAAACAGAAAACCAAAAAACTTTTGTTGTAGAGCAATTTACTTAAAAATACTGTGAAGTTTTCATATAAGTTTAAATTGAAGCAAAACAAATCTTGATAATTCCAGCCCAGAGTCTTTTTTCTCCTTTTAAGTGTATCTTCTGTTCTATTACATTTTTAAATGCTTATAATTATCTCTTGTGCTTATTAAAATCTCCATTTTGTTCACTTAATGGATAAAACCCCAACACTTATAATAATCAGCCCATCACCAAAAATACATTTAAAAGAAAAGTAACAAATACATAAGTAAAGAACTATCAAATTTTCTTAGAGGAGTCTTTGAGGTCACCTAGTGTTTACCCTCTCACTAATTGGAGAATGGTGGAGGGTGTCTTCCCATCAGAGTTGGCTGGCCAAGCTAGGTGTGAACATTTGCAACCAATTACTCTGGAAGGTAACAACCTCTCAAAGGTATCTAAAGACATCTACATATTCACCCATTTACTTTCCCAAGAGAAACCTCTACAATCTCTCCTTTCAATTGCCTAACCAACCTCAGGTATTCACACCTCTACTATATGATGATTTACCTCTGAATCAGCCCTAGCTTTTCAATGTTAAATCAGACTGTGGTTTAACACTACAGAGAGGGCCAAACTAGTGTCCCCCCCATACTCTTAACACAAGGCTTCTATCTACACAGCCCACATTTAAAACTACATTTTAATTACATGTAACTACATTTAAACTACATTTCAACCATAACTTTTAAAACCTGGTTTGCTCAGCTACTGCTGTACACTAAATGAACCATTATAAAAGCAAGCTAATAATTAGAAATGATTCTGATACACTAAAAAAAACAAAAAAACAAAAATTCTTCTTTAATTCACTGACAAATGCCAAGCCTGCTCTCCACATGGCAAAAAAAAAATTTTTTTTTAGAGAGAGAACAGTAAATAATTACCTGGATTGGTGTTCCAGAAAGAATAATCCTGTAATTAGCAGTCAGTTGTTTTACTGCTTTTGACAATTTTGTTTTTCCATTTTTGATGACATGGCCTTCATCAAGAATACAGTAGTTAAATTTAATATTTCTAAGGGAGAATAAACAAAAAAATGTAGCACCTTTTACTGTATGTCAGGATCTATATTAAGATTATTGAGGCAGTGAAATTTTAAGTCTCTTCAAATCTGATACTAAGTTTTTCTGAAGAAAAAAAATCTTAATCTTACCTAAAGAAATCTATGTCATTCCTGACAACATCATACGAAGCCACTATAAGATTGTGCCTTTTTACTTGATGCTGTAACCTGTATTTTAAAAATAAATAAGATTAGGAAACAGGGAATCTGCAAGGACCGTAATGTAATTTAAAAGTAGAAATTACAGCTACTATTTTATAAGGTGCTTTTTGTTTGCCTAAGCCCACATCCCCTCTGCTTCAGTGACGACAATGACCCTACTGCCTGCCATTCTTATGACTTGGCCTTGTTGTCTTAACTCAGTCTGTTTAGAAAAGAGATCAGGAGACAGGATTAAAGATGGCAGCGTGAGAGATGAGACAGAGGTTTCCTCCTAAAACTGCATATAATACGAAAATATAATTAATACAACTAATCCTGAAAGAGCAACAGGAAAGAGGACTGCGCCAAACTGCATACACCTGGGGAAAAGAATAAACCTCATGGAACAGGGTAATGTACCAAAGCCGTGGCCTGGCGGGACCCAAGCCCTTCCCCAACCTCAGCTCACCGGCGGGTGGAAGAGAAATGGAGCAGGGAGGGAGTGGAAGCCTGGGACTGCTGAATACCTAACTCCAGAGATCTGCTCTGGAAGCACAAACCTACATTTCATAGTGCCTTCATGGTACTCTCATGATTAGTGAGTTGGAAAGCTAAGGCAGAATTCCTGGAGAGACTGAGATTCCAGCCTCTTGTGGAAAGCAGGGATCCATATCCAGCTGCTCTGAGACAAAAGAAAGGCGGGCAGTCTGAGAGACTTCCTAACGGCAAGAGGGCTGCTAAAGGGGCAAGGATTGCACAGAGCTTACTGCTCAGGAGAAAGGACAGATAAACAAAATTGTCCAGGTGCACAGAGGCTTATACCTGTGTGCTCAGCTCACTGGTTCTAGCAGTGGAGGCAGGCATAGTAGCCGGGAAGCAGGAAACAGCTCTTTCCTCCCCCCAGGCACCAATACCGCTCCCCTGCGAACACCGACATTGCTTCAGGGACTGAGCAGCTCCAGAGAGTAGAGCTCTGGGCACTAGAGGGCGCCAGATACAAATATGAAATGCCAAAGGAAACTGGTTCAAAGTAAAATTATGAATACAACAGCTGAGAAAGATTCAAATGAAATCGACTTCATGCATCTTCCTGAAAGGGATTTCAAAATAAAAATCATTAACATACTTATGGAGGTAGAGAAAAATATTCAAGAACTCAGGAACAAATTTAGGATGGAGATCCAATCACAATGGAGGGTATTAAAAGCAGATTAGATCATCAGGGAAATGCAAATAAAAACGACAATGAGATATCACCTCACACCAGTAAGGATGGCCAGTATCGAAAAGACTAAGAACAATAAATGCTGGTGAGGATGTGGAGAAAGGGGAACCCTCCTACACTGCTGGTAGGAATGTAAGCTAGTTCAATCACTGTGGAAAGCAATATGGAAGTTCCTCAAAAAACTAAAGATAGAAATACCATTTGACCCGGGAATCCTACTCCTTGGACTTTACCCAAAGAATACAACTTCTCAGATTGAAAAAGACATATGCACCCCTATGTTGATTGCAGCACTTTTTACAATAGCCAAGATATGGAAGCAACCTAAATGTCCATCAGTAGATGAATGGATAAAGATGTGGTACATATACACAATGGAATACTATGTGGCCATAAGAAACAAACAAATCCTACGATTTGCAACAACATGGATGGAACTGGAGAATATTATGCTCAGTGAAATAAGCCAGGCAGAGAGAGACAAATGCCAAATGATTTCCCTCATTTGTGGAGTATGACAATGAAGCAAAACTGAAGGACAGAATAGCAGCAGACTCAGAGACTCCAAAAAGGGACTAGTGGTTACCAAAGGGGAGGAGTGGGGAAGGGTGGGTGAGGACAGAGGGAGAAGGGGATTGAGGGGTATTGTGTTTAGTACACATGGTGTGGGGGATCACGGGGAGAACAGTGTAGCACAGAGAAGGCACATAGTGGATCTGTGGTATCTTGCTGCACTGATGGACAGTGACTGCATTGGGGTATGGGTGGGGACTTGATAATATGGGTAAATGTAGTAACCACATTGTTTTTTCATGTGAAACCTTCATAAGGGTGTGTATCAATCATACCTTAATAAAAAACTAAAAAAAAACAGATAAGCTATGGTGGAGGAGATGATAAATGAAATAGAAATTAGAGAAGAGGAATACAAAGAAGCTGAGGCACAGAGAGAAAAAAGGATCTCTAGGGGTACCAGAAGAAGAAGAGAGAGAAAAAGGGATAGAACATGCCTTGAGGAAGTAATTGATGAAAACTTCCCCAATTTGGGGAAGGAGATAGTCTCACAGGCCATGGAGGTGCACAGATCTCCCACCACCAGGGGATCCAAGGAAGACAACACCAAGACATATAGTAATTAAAATGGCAAAGATCAAGGATGAGGACAGACTATTAAAAGCAGCCAGAGAGAGAAATAAGAAAACATACAAAGGAGAGCTCATCAGCCTATCATCAGACTTCACAGAAGAAACCTTAAAGGCCAGAAGGGAGTGGCATGATGTATTTAATGCAATGAAGCAGAAGGGCCTCAAATGAAGAATACTGTATCCGGCAAGAGTATTATTTAAATTTGAAGGAGGGATTAAACAATTTCCACATAAGCAAACACTGAGAGAATTTACCTCCCACAAACCGTCTCTAAAGTGTATTTTGGAGGGACTGCTATAGATAGAAGTGTTCCTGAGGTTTAATAGCTGTCACCAGAGGTAATAAAACCACAGTAAAGAAAGTAGAACAGTTAATTACTAAGCAAATGCAAAATTAAATCAACTACCCACAGAGTCAATCAAGGGATAGACAAAGTGTACAGAATATGATACCTAATATATAAAGAATGGAGGAGGAAGAAAAAGGAGGAAAAAAAAAGAACCTTTAGATTGTGTTTGTAATAGCATATTAAGTTAGTTAACTTAGACTCTTAGATAGTAAGGAAGTTCACCTTGAACCTTTGGTAACCACGAATCTAAAGCCGGCAATGGCAATAAGTACATACCTATCGATAATTGCCCTAAATGTAAATGATCTGAATGCACCAATAAAAAGACACAGAGTCACTGAATGGATAAAAAAACAAGACCCATCTATATGCTGCCTATAAGAGACTCATTTTAAACCCAAAGACATACACAGACTAAAAGTGAAGGGAAGGAAAAAGATATGTCATGCAACTAATAGGGAGGAAAAAGCAGGAGCTTCAGTACTTGTATCAGACAAAATAGACTTCAAAACAAAGAAAGTCACAAGAGACAAAGAAGGACATTACATAATGATAAAAGAGTCACTCCAACAAGATATAACCATTATAAATATGTATGCACCCAACACAATAGCACCTACATATGTGAAACAAATACTAACAGAATTAAAAGGGGAAATAGAATGCAATGCATTCATTCTAGACTTCAACACTCCACTCACTCCAAAGGACAGATCAACCAGGCAGAATATAAGTAAGGACAGAGGCACTGAACAACACATTAGAACAGATGAACATAACAGACATCTACAGATCTCTACACCCAAAAGCAATAGAATACACATTCTTCTCAAGTGTACATGGAACATTTTCAAGAATAGATCATATACTAGGTCACAAAAAGAGCCTCGGTAAATTCAAGAAGATTGAAATTGTACCAACCAGTTTCTCAGACTATAAAGGTATGAAACTAGAAATAAATTACGCAAAGAAAATGAAGAATCCCACAAACACATGGAGACTTCACAACATGCTCCTTAATAACCAAAGAATCAATGACCAAATAAAAACAGAGATCAAGCAATATATGGAGCCAAATGACAACAATAACTCAACATCGCAAAATCCATGGGATGAAGCGAAGGCCATGCTAAGAAGAAAGTACACTGCAATACACACCTACCTCAGGAAAGAAGAAAAATCCCATACGAACAGTCTAAACTCACAATTAACAAAACTAGAAAAAAAAGAACAAATGAAGTCCAAAGTCAGTACAAGGAGGGACATAATAAAGATCAGAGCAGAAATAAATAAAATGGAGAAGAATACAACAATAGAAAGAATCAGTGAAAGCAAGAGCTGGTTCTTTGAGAAAATAAACAAAATAGATAAACCCCTAGACAGACTTATCAAGAAAAAATGGAAGTCTACACACATAAACAGAATCAGAAAAGAGAAAGGAAAAATCACTCAGGATACCACAGAAATAATAGCAATTATTACAGAATTCTATGAAAAATTATATGCTAACAAACTGGATAACCTAGAAGAAATCGACAGCTTTCTAGAAAAATACAACCTTCCAAGGCTGACCCAGAAAGAAACAAAAAATCTGAACAGACCAATTACCAGGAACAAAATTGAACTGGTAATCAAAAAGCTATGTAAGAACAAAACTACGGGACCAGATGGCTTCACTGCTGAATTTTATCAAACATTTAATGAAGACCTAATACTCATCCTCCTTAAAGTTTTCCAAAGAGTAGAAGAAGAGGGAATACTTCCAAACTCATTCTATGAGACCAGCATTACTCTAATACCAAAACCAGGCAAAGACACCACAAAAAAAGAAAATTACAGACCAATATCCCTGATGAACATAGACGCAAAAATACTCAACAAAATATTAGCAAACTGAATTCAAAAATACATTAAAGATCATCCACCATGATCAACTAGGATTTATTCCAGGGATGCAAGGATAGTACATTAGAAAATCCATCATCCACCACATCAACAAAAACAAGGACAAAAAACAAATGATCATCTCCATAGCTGTAAAACCATTTGACAAAATTCAACGTCCATTCATGATAAAAACTCTCAACAAAATGGGTATAGAGGGCAAGTACCTCAACATAATAAAGGCCATATATAACAAACCCACAGCCAACATTATACTTAACAGCGAGAAGCTGAAAGCTTTTCCTTTAAGATTGGGAACAAGGATGCCCATTCTCCCCACTTCTATTGAACATAGTACTGGAGGTCCTAGCTACAGCAATCAGACAACTCAAAGAAACAGAAGTCATCCAGATTGGGAAGGAAAAGTTAAACTGTCCCTGTTTGCAGATGACATGATATTGTACATAAAAAATCCTAAAGAAGCCACTCCAAAACTACCAGATCTAATATCTGAATTCAGCAAAGTTGCAGGATACAAAATTAATACACAGAAATCGATGGCATTCCTATACACTAACAATGAACTAGCAGAAAGAGAAATCAGGAAAACAATTCCATTCACATTTGCATCAAAAAGAATAAAATACCTAGGAATAAACCTAACCAAGGAAGTGAAAGAACTATACTCTGAAAACTACAAGACACTCATGAGAGAAATTAAAGAAGATACCAATAAATGGAAACACATGTGGTGCTCATGGATAGGAAGAATTAATATAGTCAAAATGGCCACCCTGCCTAAAGCAATCTACAGATTCAATGCAATTCCTATCAAAATACCAACAGCATTCTTCAACGAACTAGAGAAAACAGTTCTAAAATTCATATGGAACCACCAAAGACCCTGAATAGCCAAAGCAATCCTGAGAATGAAGAATAAAGCTGGGGGGATTATGCTCCACAACTTCAAGCTCTACTACAAAGCCACAGTAATCAAGACAATTTGGTACTGGCACAAGAACAGACTCACAGACCAATGGAACAGACTAGAGAGCCCTGATATAAATCCAACCACATATGGTCAATTAATATATAATAAAGAAGCCATGGACATGCAATGGGAGATGACAGCCTCTTCAATAACTGGTGTTGGCAAAACTGGACAGCTACATGCAAGAGAATGAAACTGGATTATTGTTTAACCCCATACACAAAAGTAAACTTGAAATGGATCAAAGACCTGAATGTAAGTCATGAAACCATAAAACTCTTAGAAGACAACACAGGCAAAAATCTCCTGAATATAAGCATGAGCACCTTCTTCCTGAACGCATCTCCTTGAGCAAGGGAAACAAAAGCAAAAATAAACACATGGGACTACATCAAACTAAAAAGCTTCTGTATGGCAAAGAATACCATCAACAGAACAAAAAAGGAATCCTATACTATGGGAGAATATATTTATAAATGACATATCTGACAAGGGGTTAACATCCAAAATATATAAAGAACTCACACACCTCAACACCCAAAAAGCAAATAACCCAATTAAAAAATGGGCAGAGGATATGAAGAGACAATTCTCCAAAGTAGAAATTCAGATGGCCAACAGACACATGAAAAGATGCTCCACATTACTAATCATCAGGGAAATGTAAATTAAAACCACAATGAGGTATCACCTCACACCAGTAAGGATGGCCAGCATCGAAAAGACTAAGAACAACAAATGCTGGTGAGGATGTGGAGAAAGGGGAACCCTGATACACTGCTGGTGGGAATGTAAGCTTGTTCAACCATTGTGGAAAGCAGTAGGCAGGTTCCTCAAAAACTAAAAATAGAAATACCATTTGACCCAGGAATCCCACTCCTTGGAATTTAACCAAAGAATACAGCTTCTCAGATTCAAAAAGACATATGTACCCCTATGTTTATCGCAGCACTATTTACAATTGCCAAGATATGGAAGCAACACAAGTGTCTATCAGTAGATGAATGGATATAGAAGATGTGGTATATACACACAATGAAATACTATTCAGCCATTAGAAACAAACAAATCCTACCATTTGCAACAACATGGATGGATCTGGAGGATATTATGCTCAGTGAAATAAGCCAGGCGGAGAAAGACAAGTGCCAAATGATTTCCCTCATTTGCGGAGTATAACAATGGAGAACTGAAGGAACAAAATGGCAACAGACTCACAGACTGCAAGAAGGGACTAGTGGTTAACCAGAGGGGAGGGGTGTGGGAGGGTAGGTGGGAGAGACGGAGAAGGGGACTAAGGGGTATTATGTTTAGTACCCAATGTGTGGGGGTCACAGGGAAATCTGTACACAGATAAGACAAACAGTGAATCTGTGGCATCTTACTACAATGATGGACAGTGACTGCATTGGGGTATTGGTGGGGACTTTATAATATGCGTAAATGTAGTAACCTAACTACATTGTTTTTTCATGTGAAACCTTCATAGGAGTGTATATCAATAATACCTTAATACAAAAAATAAATAAATAACTGCTCTGAGAACAGGAAATATTAAAGAATCTTACTTCCTAACCAGGTTGGGTACCCCTCAGAAATACTGAGGAAGGCTCTGCTTCCTAAGAGGAATGGGGCTTGGATTATTTTGAGTACTAAAAGAAAATTTACCCTAGGGAAGTTATTAATGTGGGGACCCTAATCAGTTACACATACATGTATTTGTATGTATACATGAGTTGAATGCAAATACATTTTAATAAATCTTACTGTTCTTGAAAAAAAAAAAAGATGGATCTTTGACTCAAAAGTGGTGGGCACTTGAAATGTACCTGCACACACCTCCTCCCCGGAGACACTATCCTTCCACTACTCCATGTTGTGCTGGCTGGGGCAGAGGGAGCTGTTAATCACATGTCCCCATCATCACTAAAGAGATGAAGCATGTAAATCAGGTTAAGCTAGTCACAGTATTTTATCCCCTGACGACAAAAGCTGATTTGGGGAGCATGACACAAAGAAGACCAGTCCATCATCTGTAGCACTGACATACTCATGATGGGAGAGAAATTTCAGCTGTCAACCTAAGAGAACATGAGCCTAACAGTGTCCATGATCATGTTATCCACAAACAGTAGACCAAAATCCAGCAAATACCAACAGAGCAAGTTATGTATAAGGAGGAAGAGCAAATCAAACTAATCTAGATATGCCTGAAGCAAGAATTCACCCCTTAAATTCTCAATTTAGTGGATTAATGAATTTCCCATTTGCTTATGCTAGTTTGAGTTGAGTTTCACTTGTAAACGAATGAATTTTAACTAGCAGACACTACAGTATCTTTAAGAGTGAAAGCTGTTGAGCTGACAGTGTTCAAACGCTCATTCTGCTCAGTCAATTTTATCTGAGTGACCTTGGATCCAGTCCCCATGTTTTAGACTCCTCATCTCTAAATTGGGAACTAACAGTACCCACACCTCATAAAGTGATTGTTAGAATACACAATACACCGTTCTACATAAATGTAGAACTGCTTAGAATACTGTCTAGCCAGTAAGTGCTCAATATGTTAACTATTAGTAATACAGAAGGGCAGCGAATCTATGGACTAATAGGCAGCAACCTATGACAATCCAAGCTTTAAAAGCTGAACCAAAATCAATGAGATTCTGCTCTTTGAAATATATATTTAGGAACATAAGAGATGTACTAGTTAACAGAGAAAGGGAAAAGCTCTAGCACTCTCATGATGCTATGGTATGGTATGGTAAAGCACTTATAGGGAGAGGCAACAAGAGGGAGCTTTTAGGGAAGAAGACGCTATGATCATAAGGCTTCCAAGAAGGGCATAGAGAACGGCTTTGGTTTCTAATAGTTTCCTAGCTCTGATACCTAAAAAGCCCAATTGATTGTTAACAATGCATGAAGTTTCTATGGCTGACAACCAAAGATGCTAATGAACTCATTTTTAATAAATTTTATTCTTCTAAACTACATAAAGCAGAAGATTAAACATTTTGGCATTATATAGTTCTTACCTTATTCTTTCAGTAGGAGGTCCAGTATAGTGCAATGGATTGAGATATTCTCTGGAGCAAAATTTACCTACTTCATCCACCCAATGACCTGTTAATGTTGGTGGGCAAACTACCAATGAAGGGAGTGGCATACATTCAGCCAATTTTGATCTTGCATATTCTTGGGCCCTTTACAACAAGACACAATAAATTAACCAGCTTGCTTACACTTTTCAGCATCTGGAAGTCTTCTTTTAAAATAACATTTTAAATTACCTGTGACAATGATCTCCTGCTAATATGCAGATGGACTGTAAAGTCTTTCCTAAACCCATGTCATCACACAGAATCCCATGAAGTTTATACTTATTAAGAAATGCTAACCAGTTCACACCATCCTAAAAGGTTGGGAGACAGAGAAAAATTATAAACATGAAGAGATTATACAAAAAAAATTTTTTTTGTAGAAAACATGTTTACTCATATCAAAAATCTGCATTTTTTAATAGGTAACAGAAATAAATGGTCAATGGTCATAAGACAGTAAACACAAGATTTTATTAAGTCAATTTTTCAAACTCTTTAAGGTACACTTAAAGGAAGAGTCACTAGTCGTATTTACAAGATAAGTATAAAACTTTACCTGTTGATATTTTCTGAGTTCTGCATTGATTGGTACTGGAATTTTGTAATTTTCTAACTTTTTCCCATCTAACAATTGCTCCAAAAAGTGTCGCTCCTTGGCTTTCAATTGGATTAATTCTTCTGACATATTTGGAGGGTCTGGAATGCCTGCCTAAAATGATTTTTTAAAGTGTATTAAAACTATTTATTCATAGTTTTTTCATTCTCAAATTATGAAATAATTTCAAGTCTTATCAAAATGCAGAGAAAAAGCTTTGAAGACTGGAAGAAAAATAGAGTTTAAAGAATTTGACAAATATTAAAACTGCTATAATGAAGCTACTAAATAAACATACTTGAGGTACTTTAAAGAACACCGCCACAATTCAATTTTTCCCACACCATGCATTATTTGATAAAGAGGCAAATAAAGTAACACAGCTTTTTAAAAAGTTTTGGTATCATTCATATACAATCACATGAGCAACATTATAGTTACTAGATTCCCCCCATTATCAAGTCCCCACCACATACCCCATTATAGTCACTGCCCATCAGCATAGTAAGATGCTATAGAACCACTACTTGTCTTCTCTCTGTTATACTGCCTTCCCTGTGACCCGCCCCCCTCAACCTTATGTGTGCTAATACAGGTTGTTTTAAGTGAAATGCTGTTTGTGGAGTTTCTCAACTTTAGTGTTACAATGCCCCATGGTATTAGTTCTTAAAATGTGGTCTGCAGACTGCTCAGGATCCCCAAGACCTTTTCAAAGGATCACTGAGGTCAAAACTGTTTCATAATTAAGAAAAAAAAAAAGACATTGTTTGCTTTTTCCACTATGTTGACATTTGCACTGATGCTGCAAAAGTAATGGGCAAAACTGCTTGTGCCTTGGAAAAAATCAAGGCAACAGCATCAACACACTGGTAGTCACGGTATTCCTCACAGCCATGCACAAGCATTCAAAGAAAGAAAAAAAAAAGGTTTCACATAAGAATGTCTTTGAAGCAGTAAAAACAGTTTTATTAAACCTCAACCTCTGAATGTACATCTTTTTAACATTCTTTGCAACAAAATGTGAAATGCACTTACAGCACTTCTGCTACATATTAAAGTACAATGTCTTGAAGAAAAGTACTTGTAAAATTTTTTAAATTATAAGTTGAGCTAGCCATGTTTTATAAAACATTCTACTTGAATGGGCACAGAAATTACGGTTATTCTGGGTTGAATATTTAGCTAACATTTTCTCAAATACAGATTTGTCACATCAAGAAAATCAACAGACATAAATTATAGCCAATGATAAAATTCAATCATTCAAGAGAAACTTAGCACTGTGAGCTTAACAGCTTCCCAATATTTAAAAAGAATTTCTAGTGGATGATATTAATCAATCTGATTTTTTGTTATTGTATGATGACATGTATCAACATGTAAAAGATTTATATACTTAGTGAACCAGTATTTTCCAAATGACCAATGAATGCATAATGTCACAAAATATACATGGTAAAAGGTCTACTCAAAGTGTAAGATAAAACCACCAGCACCACCAAAAAAAAAAAGAAAAGTGTAAGATAAACCATGAATTTTAGTGTAAGAGAGATTACACATTCACTGACAAGATGTTAGATTCAATATTGCACATTAATTTAACAAACTTTCTTTTTGGAGTTTTGGTATGCTACCAAATAAAATATTGAAAATACTACAAAATACTGCTCACTTTTCTAACTACTTATTTGTACAAGATGAACTTTCTTTACGTACCTCAATCCAAGCCACATGTTGCAACAGACTGAATGCCCAAGCAAATACAGGAATTCAGCTATGTATATTAGGATAGACATAAAAGGTATTTGCAAAAATGTCAAACAATGTCGCTTTTCTAACTTTTTTTAGAAAGTTATTTTTCATGAAAAAATGTTACTTATGATAACACCTAATGGATTTTATTTATATGAATTACTACATCTTTTTACATTTCTCTTTCAATTTCTATTATAGGAAGTATGCTAAACAAAAGCTCTTTGGGGTCTTCAATTTTTAAGAATCTTAAAAGGTCCTCAGACCTAAAAGTTTGAGAACTTACTACCCCTTTGGTGTCTCTAAAGTTAAGAAATGTAAAATTATGGAAACATTATTTAATTAAAATATATGTTCCATATAGCACCAGAAATAGTATAAGAATGAGGTCTGAACATGGAGTCTTAAAAATGACTGCACATTCTATTTTCAAAAAGTTTCAGAATTAACAACTTTAGTATATCTATTTTATTATATCTAATAGCACAATGATAATCATCAAGATGAGGTCTTTCTGCACAATGCTTTATAAAGTAGTAACAGAATCTTCATTTATCCTCACAGAATTTTTCATAAACAACAATCACACATAAGGTCCATTTCCTAACAATGATACCCTAAGCCCAAGAGTCATAAATACTGTTCAGTGCCAAGAGCCCTTCCTGTGAGTGTGTACTTCACTCCAATACCTATAAAAACAGCAAGGGTTTACTAATGTAATGGTGCAGGGAACTGAAGCTTCTGTCAAAATGGCTGGTAGATATTCTGAATCCCTGACAATCTTTCAGTAAAAACATGATTTCTTCTGATGAAGATGTAACAGAAGAAATCAAGATAAAGTGGAACAGGAATTAATTTGCATGACATTCTTATTTCTATTGCTATGTCTTCAAAACTCATTAACTTTTCTTCTGCAATGTCCAGTCTATTAATCCCATCCAGTGTGTCTTTACTTGTAATTGTATTTTCCATCTCAGTAAATTAAATCTGGATCATTCTTATATCTTCATTTTGCTCATTACACTCATGCTTTTCTCTACCTTCCTGAATAAATGGGGTGTTATCTGAATATCCTTGTCTACTAAATCCATTATCTGGGTCATTTCAGGGTCTGTTTCTATTGACTGACTTTTCTCCTGGTGATTGCAAATATTTTCATACCCAGTAATTCTTTGGTAGGTGCCAAACGTTATAAGTTTTACATTGTTGGGTGCTGGATTTTTTTCAGTTTAAATATTCTAGGACTTTTTTCTGGGACTACTTAAATCACTTGAAATTAACTTGACCCATTTAAGGCCTGCTTTTTTAATGTGGATCCAAATCAGTATTTTGTCAAGGGTTAATTTGGTCCCACTACTGAGGCAGTATACTCCTGAGGATGATACTTGAAGCACTATATGGTAGGTCTTTTCACTTAGCTTATTGGAAACATTAACTATTCCTGGCCCTGTGTCTGCTCTGGGAATTGTTATACCTACTTCTTTCTATGATATCTCCCTTTAGTTTCAAACATATATTCTCTTACATATGCCCAGATTGACACACACATTTGCCCAACCTTTGTGTGAACCTCTAGCCTTACAAATTCTATCCATCTTGTCCTACCTGTACTCTGAACTCTTGACTCTTCCAACTTGGCAAGACTGCTAGGCTCTGTGCAGGTTTCACTTCCTTGTCCTACAGTCTGGAAACTCACACTAGCCAGTAAGCTAGCGCACTACGTTGTTTCCCTTTTCTCATGAATCACTATCCTGTGCTACCTGTTGTTCAACATCTGAAAACCACTGTTTGATTCATTTTGTCTGGTTTTCCAATGTGGGAGAATAAATCTAGTCCCTGTTTCTCTATAATGGCCAGAAGCAAAATATGCATCACCTTCTTACAATTTTTTTTTGTATCATTAATCTATAATTACATGAAGAACATTATGTTTACTAGGCTCCCCCCTTCACCAAGTCAACCCCACAAACCCCATTAGTCACTGTCCATCAGCATAGTAAGATGCTGCAGAATCCCTACTTATCTTCTCTGTGTTGCAGTCCTCCCCGTGCCTCCCCCCCACTACACATGCTAATTATAATGCCCCCTTTCTTTTTCCCCACCCTTACCCCTCCCATCACACCCATCCTCAGTCCCTTTCCCTTTGGTAACTGTTAGTCCATTCTTGGATTCTGTGATTCTGCTGCTGTTTTGTTCCTTCAGTTTTCCTTTGTTCTTATACTCCACATAAGAGTGAAATCATTTGGTACTTGTCTCTCTCTGCCTGTCTTATTTAACTGAGCATAATACCCTCTAGCTCCATCCATGTGTTGCAAATGGTAGGATCTGTCTTCTTCTTATAGTTGAATGATATTCCATTGTGTATATGTACCACATCTTCTTTATCCATTCATCTACTGATGGACACTTGGGTTGCTTCCATTTCTTGGCTATTGTAAATAGTGCTGCAATAAACATAGGGGTGCATCTGTCTTTTTCAAACTGAGCTGCTACATTCTTGGGGTAAATTCCTAGAAGTGGAATTCCTGGGTCACATGGTATGTCTATTTTGAGCATTTTGAAGAATCTCCATACTGTTTTCCACAATGGTTGAACTAATTTACATTCCCACCAGCAGTGTAGGAGGGTACCCCTTTCTCCACAACCTCACCAACATTTGTTGTTGTTTGTCTTTTGGATGGTAGCCATCCTTACTGGTGTGAGGTGATATCTCATCGTGCTTTTAATTTGCATTTCTCTGATGGTTATCGATGTGGAGGATCTTTTCATGTGCCTGTTGGCCATCTGGATTTC